TTCTTTTTTTTTTTTTTTTTTTTTTTTTTTAATATATATGTAGCCTGTGTGCTGAATGGAAAAAGAAGAAATCTCTGCCAGAAAAAGTGTGTGGTAGGCCCACCATTAGAATATACCACTTTGCATCCACCCACTTCTATTGGTGGGCACACATTAGGTCATACTTTGCCACAAGCGCCAGTTCCAAGATTGAACAAATGTCTAAAGAGTGGCACGCTTGAATAAAAATTGTCCACATATAAGTGGTACCTCATATGGAAAAAGGATGACACCAAGTCTCAAACTATCTTGCCACTGCTCCCCATGTGGTCTGGGCATCCGGGGGGCTCCACGTGACTCTTTTCCCTCGTAAAAACCTAAACTTATAAGTATAGCCTGTTGTCCTCTCACAGGTCTTCTACATCTTGACCCCATATCTGGCACACTTGCTGGGGAGAAATTGTTTGAATGCAAGGCGGCCAGAAAAATTAATCAGGGACTCATCAACACAGATTTGTTACTGGGGAGTATAGCTATACATCTGCAAATTTTTGGTTAAGGTGATTCATAAGGGCCTGAATTTTGTGGAGCCGGTCAAATTCAGGGTCATCCTGAGGACGACAGAGTGTATTGTTGTTGAAATGCATAAAACACATTATACTCTCATATCTATGCCTGGCCATGGCAGCAGAGAGAACACAGGCATATGATGAATCCGGTCTGTGGACCAATACAAACGCAATTCATTTTTTTTTTGTAATGCCCATGTTGAGGGTTAGGCCCAAAAAAAATGTAAATTCAAAAACCGTAATGGGTTTCCATGCGACTGGTCTGGCAAGGTTTGAATTTTGGTTGGCGGCAATAAATTGTTGTGCATATAAATTGCTTTGATCCACAATCAACGCATACAGATATTCCGTGAATCAAGGGGAGGGGTTAAATTTGCTGTTTCCACCTGAATTCCGGGACTAACTGGACTTTATGAGCACTGATCAGACATTGGAGTTTGATCCTTTATTTTAGTGTGGTTGCACTGTGTTTTGTACACTTTAATGCACATTGTTTACACATATGTATGTTTCACTGATTTGGGTTTTTCATACAGTGGGGCAAAAAAGTATTTAGTCAGCCACCAATTGTGCAAGTTCTCCCGCTTAAAAAGATGAGAGAGCTGTAATTGGCATCATAGGTAGACCTCAACTATGAGAGACAAAATGAGAAAAAAAAATCCAGACAATCACATTGGCTGATTTGGAAAGAATTTATTTGCAAATTATGGTGGAAAATAAGTATTTGGTCAATATCAAAAGTTCATCTCAATACTTTGTTATATATCCTTTGTTGGCAATGACAGAGGTCAAACGTTTCCTGTAAGTCTTCACAAGGTTGGCACACACTGTTGCTGGTATGTTGACCCATTCCTCCATGCAGATCTCCTCTAGAGCAGTGTTTTGGGGCTGTCGCTGGGCAACACGGACTTTCAACTCCCTCCAAAGGTTTTCTATGGGGTTGAGATCTGGAGACTGGCTAAGCCACTCCAGGACCTTGCAATGCTTCTTACGAAGCCACTCATTCGTTGCCCGGGCTGTATGTTTGGGATCATTGTCATGTTGGAAGACCCAGCCACGTTTCATCTTCAATGCCCTTTCTGATTGAAGGAGGTTTGCACTCAAAATCTCACGATACATGGCCCCATTCATTCTGTTCTGTACATGGTCCCTTTGCGGAGAAGCAGCCTCAAAGCATGATGTTGCCAGCCCCATGCTTCACAGTAGGTATGGTGTTCTTTGGATGCAACTCAGCAATCTCTCTCCTCCAAACACGATGAGTTGTGTTTCTACCAAACAGTTCTATTTTGGTTTCATCTGACCATATGACATTCTCCCAATCCTCTTCTGGATCATCCAAATGCTCTCTAGCAAACTTCAGACGGGCCCGGACATGTACTGGCTTAAGCAGGGGGACACGTCTGGCACTGCAGGATCTGAGTCCCTGGCGGCATAGTGTGTTACTGATGGTAACCTTTGTTACGTTGGTCCCAGCTCTCTGCAGGTCATTCACTAGGTCCCCCCGTGTGGTCCTGGGATTTTTGCTCACCGTTCTTGTGATCATTTTGACCCCACGGGGTGAGATCTTGTGTGGAGCCCCAGATGGAGGGAGATTATCAGTGGTCTTGTATGTCTTCCATTTTCTAATTATTGCTCCCACAGTTGATTTGTTCACACCAAGCTGCTTGCCTATTGCAGATTCAGTCTTCCCAGCCTGGTGCAGGTCTCCAATTTTGTTTTTGGTGTCCTTTGACAGCTCTGTAGTCTTCACCATAGTGGAGTTTGGAGTTTGACTGTTTGTTTGAGGTTGTGGACAGGTGTCTTTTTATACTGATAACAAGTTCAAACAGGTGCCATTGATACAGGTAATGAGTGCAGGACAGAGGAGCCTCTTAAAGAAGAAGGTCCAGGTCTGTGAGAGCCAGAAATCTTGCTTGTTTGTAGGTGACCAAATACTTATTTTCCACCATAATTTGCAAATAAATTCTTTCCAAATCAGCCAATGTGATTGTCTGGATTTTTTTTTCTCATTTTGTATCTCACAGTTGGTCTACCTATGATGCCAATTACAGGCCTCTCTCTCATCTTTTTAAGTGGGAGAACTTGCACAATTGGTGGCTGACTAAATACTTTTTTGCCCCACTGTATATGTGAGCGTGTATATACATTTATTGTCTTGGCATCTATGTTTATTTTTAGGAGATACTTATTGGTTTGGTATTCTAGTTTTAATAGATTGCATATATATGCATTATATTAATAGGGGGAAGACACATATTTTCAGTCACTATCACTGTTTGTTTTGTAGATCACACGAATTTGTGGTATTATATGAAGTAATATATGCATGATTTCACTTATTTATACTTATGTTGGCACTGAGTAATATTTACTTCACTGATTTGTACACGGTGTCACTGTATTTGTAGAGGTTTACACTGATTTATACAGTGTGGTAGTTTATTATTTGTGGATGTATATATTTATGTATTTTTAGTTTGTGAGTAGCGCTACATTGTTTATTTACATATATATAGAGATCATTGGTATATGATTTAATGTTAGCTGGTCCTCTGGGTTAAATATTGTTTGGATATTTGGAGCGCAGGAGGTTCACACCATTAATACTACAGAAGATGACCAGAGACTGCGGACACAGTACAGGAGAGGACCAGAGACTGCGGACACAGTACAGGGGAGGACCAGAGACTGCGGACACAGTACAGGAGATGACCAGAGACTGCGGACACAGTACAGGGGATGACCAGAGACTGCGGACACAGTACAGGGGTACCAGAGACTGCGGACACAGTACAGGGGATGACCAGAGACTGCGGACACAGTACAGGGGATGACCAGAGACTGCAGGACTGCGGACACAGTACAGGGGATGACCAGAGACTGCGGACACAGTACAGGTACAGTACAGGGGATGACCAGAGGACACAGTACAGGGGATGACCAGAGACTGCGGACACAGTACAGGGGATGACCAGAGACTGCGGACACAGTACACAGGGGATGACCAGAGACTGCGGACACAGTACAGGGGATGACCAGAGACTGCGGACACAGTACAGGGGATGACCAGAGACTGCGGACACAGTACAGGGGATGACCAGAGACTGCGGACACAGTACAGGGGATGACCAAAGACTGCGGACACAGTACATCATATAAAGTCCCAACAGGGCCCCTCCACCCAGAATATCAAATGATCTGACACCATACATCAAGGAAAAGGACTACAACTCCCAGAATCTGTCGTCATTTTTAACTTACAGAAGGCAGGCTATAGAAGGCAGGGGGCGCGCTGAGCTCCGAGGACAGGCCACACCAGCAGATAGGACCGGACTGCAGAGCAGAGAGCGCACTATGGACACATGCCAGGAAAGGGGAGGAGCTGTAAGGACAGGCCACACCTGCAGACCGGACTGCAGAGCAGGGAGCGCAGTACATAGACATGCCAGGGAGCAGAGCTGTATTGTAAACAATGCAGGTGTGCTCTGTGTCACTGTTTGCCGGCAATCGCCAGGACCCAGTGGGTAATCTCCGGTCGGGACCAGGTGACTGACTCCCGCAGCCGCGATCAGCGTCGCGGGTAGGGTGGGGGCGCGCCTACCTGATATGCAAAATAATGTTTGTAAACGTGATTTTGCACAGCGGTGCCGCCTTGCCGCAGTATATGTACTGTGGCTGGTAGGCAACCGGTTAAGAACTTTCTCGTGGGTATCCAAAAGAATGCTGGAAAGCTTTTCATTGATGAGAAAAAAAAGTTAAGACGGCGGCAAACTTGTAAAAAATATAAACTGCGGTTTCCAAGCTTTCACTATTGTAAAGTTGGATTTTTTTTTTTTTTTAGCCTACTTCTACCAATCTCTAAGTGATCTTAATGTTTTGTGAAATTCGGCCAGGTTTACAGTGGTGTGCTGCACTGGGGGGTATACACATGGTTTACGTGCGTTTTCTACTTGTTTATAATCATGATCCTATTGACTTTTGTCTGATTGCACATTTTCGCTGCGGTTTTTTGAAAGTGCACAAAAGGTACTGCATCTTTAGTGCCCTTTCAAAAAATGCAGCAAAAATGTGTGACCTGATGAAAGTCTATGGCACCGCAGGTAAAATGCATGAAAAACAGATACTCCCATTCTGCGGCCAAACTGCAGCACTCCAAACTGAGAGGAGGAGATTACGGAGGCACATTCAGTACAGGAATTAGTACTTGCATGGGATATGTAGCTCTTAGAAATGAAAAATAAACAGCAAAGAGGAAGCTGCAAAGCATGCAGGGAAATCCAGGAAAATGTGGAGGGAAAAAATTATCAGTAACCGGGCAGCAATCACAAAATAAAAGGAGATTTTTCAAGTTTGGTTTATATTGGATTGTCAAACATAACTATTTATATTACTATTACAGTGCTTCTGATTTTCTCCATTGCTGCTACTCTGCAAATTTTTCTTGTTTTACAGGCTCTCACGGCTCTACTGTCTGATGATAGCAAATTTGGATTCATTGTAATAGATGGTAGCGGGGCACTTTTTGGAACCCTTCAAGGAAATACAAGAGAAGTGCTACATAAATTCACTGTGGATCTTCCAAAGAAGCATGGTAATTTGGAAAAATGTATTGGTCAGCCTATTAGACGCTAGAGGTACTTGTAGTGCATTTAGTTCACAAGACTTGACCGTGGGTATTGTCAAAAATTTTGGGTAGAACTATGGCCTTCTATAACGTACTGTAGCATTTATGCTGTATTGCCATTGGTTTTCTCTTGGATCCTCTACAAAGTCCCATAAATAACTATGGAGTCTGCCATCTAATGCAGCTTCCTTTTGATGGTGTGGGAATGGTGCTGCACTGCTTTTGAATTCATAGCAGTATTGCCACTTTCATGTAGGCTGTGCCTGATTGCACTACAATGGGTTGAAAAAAAATTGCCAATAGGGACACCTGTCTGAGGGGCTTTTCCTACTACAGGAAGTGTGGGAAATCTTGTCAGTGCAATTACCCTCAGGACACAGGTAGCAAACAAACTGACAGACAATTGAAGCATTTTCCTACTCTATCCACACTTAAAACCTCTGCAGCATCCCCCCAGCCCCCCGTCCCCCCCAATACTCACCTATGCGCCCTTTCGCCCAGCGATGTGCACTGGCTTTTCTGGAACACCCTCTCCTCATAGGCTGCGACAACAGCGAGAGCCAAAGGCACCCACTGCTGTCAGTCGCAGCCAGTGAGCCATTGAGAAGAGAAGGGGTGAGGTCAAGCCACAGCTCTGTGTGTGAATGAAAGTACAAAGCAGCGACTGTGGAGTGCGCATGCTTGGGTGACCCCATAGCAAACGGCTTGCTGTGGGGGCACGCAACAGGAGGAAGAGGCCATGAGTGCCGGCAGGAGACCTGAGAAGAGAATCCAGGCTTCTCTGTGCAAAATCTCTGCATGCAGCAGGTAAGTATAGACATGTTTTGTTTTTGTTTTTTTTTTAGCCTTTAGAATCACTTTAAAATGCATACACATTTTGGAAACTTTCAGAGATTCCCTACCTTTTTGACCACATCTTTGAACTCAGCTGGACACAGTAAAATTCTGTGGCAGTGTCTACTGGCCCCATAGTTTTGTTTTATTTGGGGTTCTACTGCACATGCACAGAGATCAGGAAAAACATTTTGGCTGCAAGAGTTAAGAATGTATGTGGATGTTTTGTGGTGGGAAGGGGTGCATCTAGTTCAGCTCAGAAGGGGTTGGGGCAAATTAATTGCAGTTGTAAAAAGATTGCAAAAGAGTAACTTTTTTTTTTTTTTTCTCACAGGTAGAGGAGGGCAATCTGCTTTGCGTTTTGCACGTCTAAGAATGGAAAAGCGCCACAATTACGTCAGAAAAGTAGCAGAAACAGCTGTTCAGCTTTTCATTTCTGGTGATAAAGTAAATGTAGCTGGACTTGTGTTGGCTGGGTCAGCTGATTTCAAAACAGAGCTCAGTCAATCAGATATGTTTGATCAGGTGAGATTTTTTTTTGAATCCTAATCGATGTTGTTTTGATGTATTACAGCCAAATCTGGAATATAGCATATTCGCTTTTTCCAGCACTCTAAGGTGATGGTAAAACAGGAAATAAAAGGGCCAGTGCAGGTAATGTCATAATGTGCTAGTATGAATCTCATACTAGTAGCACATTATGACAGACTTGCTTTAAACGAAGTCCTCCAGCTATGCACTGCCATCACTGCCGGGTATCCCATATTCACTCAGTCTTCCTGGTTCACTGGCTTCAGGAGTTTGAATGGCTGAGCCAGGATGACGTCACTCCACACATGTGCGAGTCATGGCCATGGCACAAAGCATCTGAATGGATGCCATGCCATCCTCTGAGAGCTCAGTGCACATGCGTTGGTGACATCACAAACTACTAAAGTAAGTATCTCCTAAACCACAGTCAATGGTCTGTCTGTCTGGTGCAATGGTGTCAATCTGGCAACCCTCCAGCTGTTGCCAAACTACAAGTCCCATGAGGCATTTTAAGATTGACAGTTACAAGCATGACTCCCAAAGGTAGAGGCATGATGGGATTTGTAGTTTTGCAACAGCTGGAAGGCTGCCAGTTTGACACCCCTGTCCTAAACAATGCATGTTTAGGAGATATTTATTGTGCCCACAGGTAAGCCTCATTATAGGCTGCTTACCTGTAGGTGTATATCAGCACGGAGGACTTTCCTACCAGTTTAAAGACTGATGTAGATGGCTACATTGGAGATATCTGAGGTAGACCTGTAAAGTTTATAACAATTTAAACATCTTATTGGAACTTTTGTCTGGTTAAGATTCTCTACAGTCTAGTCTGCAAAAAACATGCACTCCACAGGACGATTGCCTGTAGATTTAATGAACCCTTTAACCCCTTCTCATCCACACGTATATCGCCATCCCTCAGCATTGGCTGCTATTTGTTAAATCCAGCTGTTACTGACAGCTTCAATCCCCACTAAATATCAGGAACCAGCTAGAGTAGTTCCTGATCATTATTATTATTATACAGTATTTATAAAGCGCCAATAGTTCGCTCAGCGCTGTACATTACAAAGGGGGACAGAACATGTGACAGAACAATACCAATACAATGCAAAACATGAGGGGATCGAGGGCCCTGCTCTTACGAGCTTACAATCTAGGAGGGAGGGGATGGTGGCACAGGAGGAGATAGCTGTGGGGGATGGAGTGGTAGGAAGAGTGGAGGAGGTCGGCAAGTTAGCAGGGGGTGGGGTAGGCTTCCCTGAAGAGATGGGTTTTCAGGGTGCGCCTAAAGGAGAGGAGAGTAGGTGATAATCTGATGGGTTGGGGCAGGGAGTTCCAGAGGATGGGTGACACCCTGGAGAAGTCCTGGAGGCGGGCATGGGAGGAGGAGACCAGGGAACTAGAGAGAAGGAGGTCTTGTGAGGAGCGGAGTGTGCGTGCTGGGCGGTACTTGGATATTAGGTCAGTGATGTAGTTCGGGGCAGTATGGTGGACAGCTTTGTACGTCAGCGTTAGGATTTTGAATTTGATCCGTTGCGCAATCGGAAGCCAGTGGAGGGATTGGCAGAGGGGGGTGGCGGAGACAGAGCGGTTGGAAAGGTGAATGAGTCTGGCAGCCGTATTCAGGATGGACTGAAGCGGGGATAGCCAGCGGCGAGGCAGGCCAGTGAGGAGGGAGTTGCAGTAGTCGAGTCGTGATATGATGAGGGAGTGGATGAGCTGTTTAGTGGTTTCTGGGGTTAGGAACGTGCGGATTTTGGCGATGTTGCGGAGGTGGAGTCTGCACGAGTTTGTTAAAGATTGGACTTGGGGCTGGAAGGATAGGTTGGAGTCCAGAATGACACCCAGTACTCTGGCCTGCAGGGCGGGTTTGATGGTAGCGTTGTTGGATGTGACGGAGAAATCAATGGGGGGTGGTGTCCGGGCTGGGGGGAAGACAAGAAATTCGGTTTTGGAGAGGTTCAATTTAAGGAAGTGGAGCGACATCCAGTCTGATATGTCGCTCAGTAGGTGTGTGATTCGGGCTGAGACCAAAGGGGTGAGGTGGGGGGTTGAGAGATAGATTTGTGTGTCGTCGGCATAGAGGTGGTAGTTGAAGCCGTGAGAGTGTATGAGTTGGCCAAGGAGAGGAGGTATAGATGGAGAAGAGAAGGGGCCCGAGGACAGAGCCTTGAGGGACCCCAACAGAGAGGGGGAGTGAGGGGGAGGTGGTAGCATTATAGGTAACGCTGAAGGAGCGTTGTGACAGGTAGGATGAGAGCCAGGAGAGAGCAGAATCTCTGAGGCCGAGGGAGTGTAGTTTTTTTGAGGAGGAGGGGGTGGTCGACTGTGTCGAAGGCCGCAGAGAGGTCAAGGAGTAGGAGCACTGAATAGTGGCCATTAGCTTTGGCGGTTAGCAGGTCGTTGGAGAGTTTGAGTAAGGCAGTTTCGGTGGAGTGTAGGGGACGGAAGCCGGACTGTAGGGGATCGAGGAGGTTGTTGTCGTTGAGGTGAGAGCATAGGCGGGTGTAGACTAGGCGCTCGAGTAGTTTAGATGTAAATGGGAGCAGGAAGATGGGTCTGAGGTTGTTCGGGTCATTGGGGTCCAGGGAGGGATTTTTAAGTATGGGGGGATGTGTGCATGTTTCAGAGGGGAGGGGAAAGTGCCTGAGGAGAGGGAGAGATTGAAGATGTGAGGGAGGTAGGAGTTGTGAGGGGATAGGGTCGAGGGGGCAGGTGGTGAGGCGGGCATCAGAGAGGATCTTGGAGACTTCCTCGATGGTAGTAAGGTCAAAGGTGCGGAGTGTGGGGGGAGCTTCAGTATGAGGAATGTAGGGTGGGGTGGAAGAGGAGGTCAGAGCAGTGGTGGGGCCGTGGGAGAGGGGTGATGAGGGGGTAGCTGAGTGAGGGTGAAGGGGGTTGGAGAGAGTTTGAGCAGCGACGAAGTCCCTGCGGGTTATGTCGAGGGGGAGGGGGGATAAGGGGGTAGCTGTGTGAGAGGGGACGGGTTGAGAGGGCGTGTGAGTTGCGGCAATGTCCTTACGAATTGTGTCAATCTTGTTTTTGAAGTGATTGGCAATCTCAAGGGCGGTGAGTGAGGTGCTGGGTGGAGGTGGGGGTGGAGAGAGTAGAGAGTTTGAAGGCAGAGAAGAGTCGGCGAGGATTGGAGGAGAGGGCCTTGATGAGGGTCAAGAAGTAGGCCTGTTTGGCAGCATGGAGGGAGGAGGTGTAGGTGCCGAAGGCAGATTTTATAGCGGGTGAAGGCTTGTTGGGATTTGGTTTTGCGCCATAGTCGCTCCAGGGCACGACTTTGTCGTTTGAGGGTTTTGGTGATCATGATCATGTGATCACTATCATCTATAACATACAGTCAGGCCATAAATATTGGGACATCGACACAATTCTAACATTTTTGGCTCTATACACCACCACAATGGATTTGAAATGAAACTAACAAGATGTGCTTTAACTGCAGACTGTCAGCTTTAATTTGAGGGTATTTACATCCAAATCAGGTGACCGGTGTAGGAATTACAACAGTTTGCATATGTACCTCCCACTTGTTAGGGACCAAAAGTAATGGGACAATTGGCTTCTCAGCTGTTCCATGGCCAGGTGTGTGTTATTCCCTCATTATCCCAATTACAATGAGCAGATAAAAGGTCCAGAGTTCATTTCAAGTGTGCTATTTGCATTTGGAATCTGTTGCTGTCAACTCTCAAGATGAGATCCAAAGAGCTGTCACTATCAGTGAAGCAAGCCACCATTAGGCTGAAAAAAACAAAACAAACACATCAGAGAGATAGCAAAAACATTAGGCGTGGCCAAAACAACTGTTTGGAACATTCTTAAAAAGAAGGAACGCACCAGTGAGCTCAGCAACACCAAAAGACCCAGAAGACCACAGAAAACAACTGTGGTGGATGACCAAAGAATTCTTTCCCTGGTGAAGAAAACACCCTTCGCAACAGTTGGCCAGATCAAGAACACTCTCCAGGAGGTAGGTGTATGTGTGTCAAAGTCAACAATCAAGAGAAGACTTCACCAGAGTGAATACAGAGGGTTCACCACAAGATGTAAACCATTGGTGAGCCTCAAAAACAGGAAGGCCAGATTAGAGTTTGCCAAACGACATCTAAAAAAGCCTTCACAGTTCTGGAACAACATCCTATGGACAGATGAGACCAAGATCAACTTGTACCAGAGTGATGGGAAGAGAAGAGTATAGAGAAGTAAAGGAACTGCTCATGATCCTAAGCATACCACCTCATCAGTGAAGCATGGTGGTGGTAGTGTCATGGCGTGGGCATGTATAGCTGCCAATGGAACTGGTTCTCTTGTATTTATTGATGATGTGACTGCTGACAAGAGCAGCAGGATGAATTCTGAAGTACTTCGGGAATATTATCTGCTCATATTCAGCCAAATGCTTCAAAACTCATTGGACACCGCTTCACAGTGCAGATGGACAATGACCCAAAGCATACTGCAAAAGCAACCAAAGAGTTTTTTAAGGGAAAGAAGTGGAATGTTATGCAATGGCCAAGTCAATCACCTGACCTGAATCCGATTGAGCATGCATTTCACTTGCTGAAGACAACACTGAAGGGAAAATGCCCAGGAACAAGCTGGAACTGAATACAGTTGCAGTAGAGGCCTGGCAGAGCATCACCAGGGATGAAACCCAGCGTCTGGTGATGTCTATGCGTTCCACACTTCAGGCTGTAATTGACTGCAAAGGATTTGCAACCAAGTATTAAAAAGTGACAGTTTGATTTGATTTATTATTATTCTGTCCCATTACTTTTGGTCCCCTAACAAGTGGGAGGGACATATGCAAACTGTTTTAATTCCTACACCGTTCACCTGATTTGGATGTAAATACCCTCAAATTAAAGCTGACAGTCTGCAGTTAAAGCACATCTTGTTCGTTTCATTTCAAATCCATTGTGGTGGTGTATAGAGCCATAAATGTTAGAATTGTGTTAATGTCCCAATATTTATGGACCTGACTGTAGTGATCATAGGCATGTTGAAAAACAATTTTCCTTCGAGATGAGATTAATAATGTATTCTGAATTGGTGTATGACCTGTGACATGAAACTCTTCCACAACCTCGCCTTAGTAGCA